TTTGAAAATACTGTGTGATAAAGTAGAGTGTAAAAAATGGACATGGATTTTGACACAACTTGTCATAAAATGTTGTTGTGCCATGTACTAAAAATAACTTTTGATATGAAGAAAAAAAGTGTGTGGGGAGGCGGATGTACTAAAAATAACTTTTGATATGAAGAAAAAAAAGTGTGTGGGGAGGGGGGGTTGGTGGTGGTAGGAAAAAAAGTAGCATGTGTGAGTAATGGAGACGACCACCACTACGACTAATCAAAAACCTATATATGCAAATCCACCAAAAATATACAGGAACAGAATTTCTCATTATAAGATTGTAGAAAAGAAAGATCATTCCGTTTCAGAAACAACAGTGTTTTCCTCCTCTTTCTGCTTAGTGTCAAGGTAGGATTTGTGAACAGATCACATTAATGTCCTCGAGCATGGTCAGCTAACTACAGGTTGTTCTTGTTTTGGTTCTGAATCTGGAGGTCGGATTCAGGTGCTGCTCTTTGTAGGAGGGCACAGAGCAGGCTGACCAGTGTCAAAGGCTCCAGTGTAGCGTACAAAGCCCCTACTTGTCACAGCAAAAATCCACCTGCACATACGCCCCCTTCACTTAAAAAAAAAAAAACAGCGGGCAGTCAGATGTCATGTGAAGCAAAAATGGACTTTTTCACTTGATTGAGCGTCATTATTAGCTAAAAGCGGCCGCCATGAAAAGTCACTCTGAACACTGCCGTCATGTATGAATTATGCAAGACCTTTTTTGGTTTTTCCCTCCAATGTACACGGCATGTGTTTGTGAATGGCGGATGCGTCACAACCAGTGCTGGGCCCTCATGCATTAGCCAAGCTCCCTCAGCTGCGATGTGTTATTCTAGGTGCAAAGTCATTCAAATTCACCAGAGAACTTGTTCGATGTTCCTGCCAAAGCTGACACATCTCTGCCTGGCCACCGACTCAAGACACGCTGCGGTACGCTTGCATTTTTTTTTTTTTTTGGCAGACGAGTGAAATCTCAACCTCATATTAATTTGTAGTGAATTAAGCGGGAAGCTTTTCCCCCCCTCCTGCGTCCAGAAACAGCACTTGACACGAGGGATGAACGATTTGGAAAAAAAATAAAAAATTCTCCAAATATTGCCATTGCGATTTAATATGCAATTATTTTTTTTCAAGCTCCTCTTCCCAAACATGTATATACCCTATATTTTTATAAACACAAAAACTAAATTAATCAGTACAAGATGATTCAATACGTGGGGTGCAAAATGATTCAAGAACTGTCCAATTTGAAAGTAGAACGATTCGATTCGGATGGACTCACCATTATAATTTGGTTGGATGTGGTACGGCTCATTTCGACACGGTGAGATGCAATGACTCTGTTACTGTCATTTTACAAGTATTTGATTGAACTTGTCAGTATTGTATGTTTGACACATCCCTCCAAAAAAAGAGGATTTCATATCTATCTCAACATATTTTAAAAGTGGAATGATGTGATTTAGTTTGATTCAGTGCACTCGCCTCTTAATTCTAAAGCGATTTTCTGATTAAAATCAGTTTTAGTTACACCCCTATGATTTTATATATATATATATATATATATATATACACACACACACACACACACACACACACACACTGTATAATAAAGCCCCTGACCAGCTGAAATGAGGCCATTTATTTTCCTGGAAAATAAATGGCCTCATTGTGGAAAATTTTTCCACAAATTGCACCCTTTGCATTTTGAAAATTGCATTCTTTCTACTGCATTGCAATGCCGATTTGAATTAGGTTAATATTTCAGCCTTACAATACGACGCATTTGCCACCACCCCTCATTCCAACTCCAGCCAGTCAAATGGGAAATTAATGACTGTTGTGTGGCATGTTGAAGACCTCCTAATAGCTTTTTACCAGCATGTCCATTAGTATGACACACGCAAGCAGGATATGCAGGCTTGCTTGCCCCTTAAACTCCAACGAGCACATTCATAAATATCCATTGTGCTGCAACGTCAGTTGGAGCACACCATTCAGAACCTTTTGACGCTTGCTTTTAAATGATATGGCATCACTTCTTGCACTAAGTTGTCAGAAGGCACTTTTTCAACAATGGTCCTCCCCTTCCAAGCCGTTCCGGCTATAAGCACTCGTCACCGCCGTGTGTTTCATCTTCACTCTTGGAACCACAATAATCGATGTGATGGCTAAGGAAAACAGGCTGTTTCTCTCGCTGCCCCTGAGGCACACACACACACACACACACACACACACGCACACGCGCGCGCTCGTGCGCCGAAAACAGATTGGGTCTGACAAAGCAGACTAAAAGCAGTGAGCAGTGGTATCTATCTATACAGTGTTCCAGTGCCAGCATGACCTGCGGCAGAGAAAAGAGAAGCCGCTTTGTGTAGAAGGCCACCAGTAGATGTGTTGTTTGTGGCAATGCTATAATGAGCATTTATAATGATTCTTAAGACTCGTCTTTGCATAATTCACCCGACGTGGCGGGCTAGTTGTCAATTCTGTGGCTGGTGTCATTCAAAAGATCATTTCTGTGCGGGTGTTGCTTGTGATGGACTCAAGTTCAAAAGAAATTTGGTGGATTCGGGAAGCCGGAAATTTCCAGTACCCCAAAATACCCCAAATATTTTTTTCTTTCAACATTGCTTTGTCAGAATTCCTCAGCAATATTGTACTGCTGTTTTCTCCAACATTAATCTAAAGAACATTTTCAATGTCTTGGCAGACTCATGAGCAATATTCCATCTTGATCCTGCTGTTCACGATGCAACATGACACCAAGACGACTCCAAACAGCACCTTGCCATTGCAAGGCTTTCAATTAGGATGTTCTCAGCTCAACTTTAGAGAACACTTTTGAACAACCGCCGCTTCATACAAAGTGCTGTATGTGGAGTAAAAAGGAATCAGACAACAAAAAAAGACAGGACTGAAAAAAAGAAATTCAGAACATAAAAAAACAATATAACACCACAAAATACGAAAATAAGACAGAGTCTCGCGCTGAGTCTAAATCCACCGACTAAAAATGGCATTTTAAGACAAGCGGTAAAGATGAGCTTTGTGTCATAGTGCCGTCAGCAGGTTGCGACAGAGAGTCTGGAAGAGTCGTGGATATTCTATCGAATTTTCAACATATGTAAATGGTGAGTTGTCACATTCTATTACAGCCTGCTTTGCAAGACAATCGTATGTGTGAAGATACATTTGGCCACAATATCCACTCTGAGTCAAGTATTTGGCATTACTGTGTTAAAAAAAAACTTTTTTTTTTTTTTTTAAGCGTATACCCACTGTTGACTTCAATGTACCCTCATGCTAGTCAACATGTTTCGGTCGTCAGCCATATTTGTTGTTGTGCTAAATCACATGTCCGGTGTGGCTCATCTCACATCAACGAGGCTTCTTCTTTCACAAACTTGCCACCAAACCGTGCTTATGTTTTGAACATGACAATTGAGTTGGCTGCTTTTTTAGAGAACACTTTTGAACAACCGCCGCTTCATACAAAGTGCTGTATGTGGAGTAAAAAGGAATCAGACAACAAAAAAAGACAGGACTGAAAAAAAGAAATTCAGAACATAAAAAAACAATATAACACCACAAAATACGAAAATAAGACAGAGTCTCGCGCTGAGTCTAAATCCACCGACTAAAAATGGCATTTTAAGACAAGCGGTAAAGATGAGCTTTGTGTCATAGTGCCGTCAGCAGGTTGCGACAGAGAGTCTGGAAGAGTCGTGGATATTCTATCGAATTTTCAACATATGTAAATGGTGAGTTGTCACATTCTATTACAGCCTGCTTTGCAAGACAATCGTATGTGTGAAGATACATTTGGCCACAATATCCACTCTGAGTCAAGTATTTGGCATTACTGTGTTAAAAAAAAACTTTTTTTTTTTTTTTAAGCGTATACCCACTGTTGACTTCAATGTACCCTCATGCTAGTCAACATGTTTCGGTCGTCAGCCATATTTGTTGTTGTGCTAAATCACATGTCCGGTGTGGCTCATCTCACATCAACGAGGCTTCTTCTTTCACAAACTTGCCACCAAACCGTGCTTATGTTTTGAACATGACAATTGAGTTGGCTGCTTTTCAGCTTGAAACGACACGGTAAGGTCACGGACAATCTGTATCTGGCTTTGCCCCGGGTTGTTAAAATTACAAGAAGAAGGAAAAAAAATAACTTAAAATGTTATTAAATGGAAGCTATTTGGCATGGCATCAATGAAATCTCAAGAATTGCTGTTGCTGCTCGTCGCTGCATCTGAATCACACAAACAGTTTTATGTTGGAATGCTTTGATAAAGGTCGTCATCACAGCACAGACAGTGGCCCGTACTTGTGCAATGGTTCTTCAAGTGGGGGGTCTGTGGGAACCTCATCAGGGACTCCTTGCGTCTACTTTGATTTCACCCCCCTTAATTATTGTTCAGCAGCAACATGGATTCAAGTAACCGATAGATAGACGAGAGGACATATGAGTATTAATGTCTTGCTGCTGCCATTCATCTTCTGCAGACAAGCCCATTAAGTGACTCACCCAAGCCCTTGCCAAAACATAAACAATTCAAGGTGAATTTTCCCTCGCGACAGAAACTTGATATTAAAGTATTTTTTTGGACAGGGCTTGGTCGCATATGAGGTGAAAAGAAGTCTTGGCCCATCATTTCGTGTGTGGCCCGGGGTGAATAACCTTGTGGAGCATCAAGTTCAACAATAATAATCGCCATAAAAACAATTCTTCAGCCTTGTGACCCGGGGACAAGTCATATAAACTGCAGTGCGGCATCTGCTGTGTTACAACAAGCACATTGCCGCGCATACACACGTATGAATATTGCACTCAGTACCAGTCAGGCAGGCGGGACAGCTTCACTTGCAAAATCAAGACGCATCGACTGCGTGCTCACACGTGTGCGTCAGGAAATATCCATGAAATATTAAAACATGCACATTAAAAGTTAAGTTACACTCACCCCTCTTGAACATGTTGCCGACCTAAATGAATTTGTTCCTCCGTCCTCTTGAAATCATCGATCCAAATATTCCAGACTTGCGGAAGTTGATCCGTAGACCCCACTCTTTCAAAAAAAAAATAATTCTTAGTGTCACTTAACTGCCCTTCCCGTTGTGCAGGTGTTATTAATATTCTCCACAGAGTTCAGTATTGGTTGGGGATCATCCGCGAAACGGACCCACGCGCAGCAATTCCTTCCGTCGGACGCGATGCTCCCGTGAAGAGGTTTGGTGACTGAATGCGTCTCCCAAAATCACTAAAATATAAAAATAAATCAAATCAATCCTCCTTTCGGCCAGTCAGAGTCGCTACAGCCGCATCTCCGCCAAACACGAAATCATTAATTATTCGAGTAAAAGCAACCAATTGCATGGATGGGTCCTTAAAATAACATGTTTAAAGACACACTCTGACAACAGTTAGACGTTGCCTGTCTGCAGAAGTCTGCGCTTCCGTGCAGCACGCACTTGTGCTCAAGAAGGGAGAAAGTGATGTTGTGACGCCTTCACCTCCTCCTCCTCATCTCCTTCTCCTCATCCTCCTTCTCCTCCTCCGGACGCAGCCTCTCTCACCGGAGCGGCAAACAGATACATCAGCAGAGAAACACAATCATGCGTGGCGCAAAACTATATTTAAACTTCAGATGAGCGACAAGGAGACACTGAGGTGTCATATCACTAAATAACAAGAAAACTTTCTCCAAATCGATCGGATTTGGAATATGGGAATGATTAGTTATTAAAATCAATATCTGTTTAATTTTGTATAAATCCACAGTTAAATTAATTCTCCAATGTTGATACAATAGTGTAACCTTTGGTTATTTACCGGGTAATCCGATTGTCTGTCTACTTCTATGTGCTCGAGCAGTCCAAATCCATGCTCTGTGATCGACTTCTCTGGCCTGGCTCATGTTTCCTGTTTAGAATGAGAAGAAAACATGGCGGCGCCCTCGTGTGACAAGCAGCTTGTTCCTGTCAAAAAGCCCACAGCAGGTAATTGCAACGTTTTTCTTCGGAGATTAATGATGCCAATGACAGATACATGTGTGAGATATTTTAAAGTGCCTCCTATGTAGACGGTGGAGTTTACGCAAAAAGTGAGACATAACGTTGTAAACGTTCCACTTGCGTGTCGAAAATCAATTGCCGGGAGGTAATGGTGAATAACAGTTGCTTTTTTGAAAGATGAGTATATAGACTGGCTGGCAATGCTAAGCGCTTGAAAATAATATCGGAAACATTAATAAAAAGGAAATTCGTCAAATTTAGGAGCGTGCCTAAATGTCCCACTCTGGTTTCAAAACATGTAGAAAATCCACTAACGTGTTTAGGGATGTCCCGATTAATTTTTTTGCTTCCCGAGTTCGTGGCACTTGGCTTGGTGTATCTGCTGATACATTTACCCGAAGTAGCAAAAGTACATCCTGTCTTAGTTGTCTTGTTATGTATATAATACACACACACACACACACACACACGCACTTTGACGAGAAATCTTTTCTACCTATGTTTGTATACTTTGCTACGTGATTATTCTTTTTAGTGTGACTGCAATTGTGGCTACTGCACACCAAGATTACCTCGGGGAATCAATAAATAATGTATCTTTTTTTTTTTTTTAAGTACACTGAGCTATCGAGTGATTCAGGAGTTTTGCAACACATCTTTCTGAAGTCAGTTAAACACGCAGGCAATTAACAATAACTGTTGAGAACAACTGTTTCATTCATGACAAGTGAGACCCATTCTGTTGGCTTTCTGTGTGCCGGACTGATTAACTCTTTTTCAAATGAAACGTTCTTCAGTTCGAGGACCTCGGCGAGTGGCCAATCAGATTCCAGATGAAATACTGCATGATCCTGAGTTGCGGGAAGCCATGAAAGCCTTACCTGCAAACTACAACTTTGAAATCCCCAAGACCGTGTGGCGAGTGAGACAAGCCAAGGCGACAAGAGGTGAGCTCACCTCAACCTTTCACAAGCTTGTTGGTGCGACAAATCACAGATTGTACGGTGAACATTTGCTGATGTTGAAATTGCCTTTCCAAACCTATGGAAAACGTGTAAGCATTCTTATGCTTCATTATTTATTTATTTTTCTTCAATGCATCGTATGTGCATGTTTTGAGGAAGTTGGAATCAATGCAGTAGCTTTCAAACGACTGCGACCCCTTTCGTTTTTGCTCTGTGTGTTTTTTTTTTCTCTTTAATCAAACTTCATCTTCCCGATGTGAAGCAAGGCGTTTTATCACCTCTGTCTCCTCCTGTTCCTCTTAACGTCCATCTGTTCCTCTGGCAGACTTGGCATTGACGCACACACACACACACACACACACACACACACACACACACACACACACACACACACACACACAAAAGAAAAAAAAAACCATCACACTGTTCTTTTCAAGTAGCCAAAAACAAGTGACTTTTATTTTGGATTCTACACAAGTGTATAAATAAACATCACTAGGTTAAAATCAAGCATGTGAAGCACACTTTCTTCTCAATGCCTCTGACTTCATCACCTCTGACAGAGAGCGTAGGTTTTTCATTTTCAACTTTCTGGTTGCTTTTCGAGCCTATCCCAGCTGCATGTGGGTGAGAGGCAGAGAAAACTTGGACAGTTTGCCCGTCATTGGCAGTGCTCACACAATTTCCTCCCCAATTATTTGCAACCCTGGTGAAGGTGGGTTAAAAGCCTTAAAATAAATTCCATTTTTATTGCAGAAGATTGCTCTCATCCTGGAAATTGTATACATGGTTCACCAACGACAGAATCAAGCTCCACCCATGGCCATCTCAGTCCCCAGCTGACTATTTCTTCCATAAATGGATGATAATTAAGTTCCTGGTTTGGTCCATAACATGCAAACCATTTTTCCCCCAAAGTAAACCAGATGTTTGCAAATGTGGTTCTTTGTTGAAACACAAAAGGTGATGCTTTCATGGGGAGCAACAGAAATCAGACACTATTTATTAGGGGCTAAAATTGGAGGCTTTGGACAATTTTAAGTTTAACAGTCGCTCTAAACGATGGATTCTTCTTCTTTTCCCTTCGGCTTTTCCCCATCAGGCGTCGCCACAGCGAATCAGTTGCCTCCATCTAACCCTGTTTAGTGCATCCTCTTCTCACACCAGTTATCTTCATTGTCCCTTTTAGTACATCCCTAAATCTCCTCTTTGGTCTTCCTCTCGGCCTCCTGCCTGACAGTTCACGACTCAGCATCCTTCTCCCAATATATTCACTTTCTCTTCTCAGGACATGTCCAAACCATCTCAGTCTGGAACCGTCTGATTTTCTCTCCAAAACCTCTAACATGAGTTGTCCCTCTGATGTACTCATTCCTGATCCTATCCAACCTGTTCACTCCCAAAGAGAACCTTAACATCTTCATCTCTGCTACCTCCAGCTCTGCCTCCCGTCTTTTCTTCAGTGGCACTGTCTCCAGTCCAAACAGCATGGCTGGTCTCACCGCAGTTTTATACACCTTTCCTTTCATCTTAGCTGAAACTCTTCTATCACACATCACACCTGACACTTTTCTGCAGCTGTTCCAGCCTGCCTGTACACACTTCTTCACCTCTTTTCCACACTCTCCATTTGACCCCCAAGTACTTAAAATCCTCCACCTTCTTTATCTCGTCTCCCTGTAACCTCACTCTTGTACTTGGGTCCCTCTCATTCACACACATGGACTCCGTCTTGTTTCGACTGACCTTCATCCCTCTCCTTTCCAGGGCAAACCTCCACCCCTCTAGTTTCTCCTCCACCAGTTCCCTGCTCTCATGACAGATCACAATGTCATCTGCAAACATCATAGTGCATGGAGATTTCTGTCTAACCTTGTCTGTCAGCCTGTCCATCACCAAAGAGAATAAAAAGGGGCTCAGAGTTGACCCCTGGTGAAGTCCCACCTCCACCTTGAATTCCTCCGTCACACCTACAGCACACCTCACCACTGTCTTCCAGTCATCATACATGTCCTGCACCACATGATGGACTGATCAGAGTCAACCATGTGATGAGACACAAGTGAAGGTGCTGGGCGGGGCATCTAGCCAATCAGCTCACGGGATAAATCAACTCGTGCTGTCATTGGTCGATGTCGGCGCCTGGAACTAATCCTGCATATAGCCATGCACAAAACCTCTGAGACACTCAACATTTTTTTCTGAATACAGTACTTTGTAAAAAAACAGCCATGTCGTGAAGCCGCGATGAATGAAGCTCAATATAGCGAAGGATCACTGTTGAGGCGATATTGCAGCTTGAACGAGGAGGGAGGAATTGACTATTTGAGATTATTATTTTTTTTCCTCCAGTAGAGCCTGTAATAGCTATTTGCATCTCCACAGGTTTCCAAGGCACAGAGTGTCTCAGAAAATCTTGACGTTCTATCAAAGAAACCATCCGACCTTTCCATTTTAGTGGAAGATGGTTATATCGTGACCACCGCGTTATGGACATCTATTATTGTTGCCGTCTTGGATTTGGCATTTCTAACAGGTCACAGTTTTATTTGGATGTCGCAATACTTTATTGACATTTGTGTGTCTGATAACAATATGGGTCTAAAATGGTTTCAGAGTTGAGTGACCCAAAATGGAATTGTGCTTTTATGCATGCGAAACATCAAATGTTTTACATCAGTCACACAGCCTGGAAACAAAAATAAATATGACTACCAAATCAGGCAGTCACAGAAAAACAAAGAACTAATCAAGATGTGGATGGAGATGGCAACAAGCGGAAGCGGCCCTGAAGTGTCTCGGCATCCTTGAAAGCTTGCCGTGTTTCCCAGGGAGACTTGTGGAACGCTGTGGGACTTGCTTTGTTTTCCAAGGTCCTCGTGCTACTGAGGCAGCCAAATGATAAGCGCGCTTGACAGTCTGCTCTTAAATCAGTCCTAGGGCTAAAACACAACAAGCGGCGTGATGTCGGGTTGTTTTTTTATTTTTTGGTCCCTTTTTAGTTGCTTCCATTTTCTTTCTGTGATACATTTACTTTTATGCACCATTGGGCAAAGCATGGCGGGAAAGAGTAGCTGCGATGATGAGATTGTTTTCTTCTCAAAATGTTTCCAATGCCGTTTTAATGTAGGGAACAAAACCCCCCTGAGGCTGTTTTTCGGATTTCATTAAGATTTTCCAGCCTCTTAAACGTAGGCAAGTTTTGAATCTCGATTTGCATTTGGCATGTCGCATTTGTGCGCACTGTTAATTCTCTCTGTGTGATGTTCATTTCGTCATGCATGGTGGAGAAATTATAGAATCAAGCACAGTGTGTTCATGGGTTTTATTGATTAATTTTTTTTCCCCTGTTTTTTTAATGACTCACAATGCTGTGATGTTAATTAGATTCTTTTCAATTAAATTTATTGTTCGAGAATGTAACCTAGTGTCTTATTTGCACTTCCATATTATTTTTTCATCAGGGATGCAGTTAGAGCTACTTAGGTTTGCACCATGGGTTGCGTAAACAGAATGGCAATTGCAGCATGACATGCAGTATGAACAGTAAACATGTCATAACAGCGTTACTGTGTTGCCCATCAATTAATTCAACCAAGAGGAGCAATTTGACGCAGAATATGGCATTGAGACATGCCCCTGCTAGTTTCCTGGAAATTATTAATATTGTGATTGTGGAATAAGTATTCAACATCAATTCTTCACTTTTCATCGATCTCAGGGAACCACCTTTTTTGCAAATACTGTACTGGCCTCTGCTATTGTTCGAATTTGCAGCATCTCAGTGTGATCGACACTTGACCAAACGCGGAAGATCGCGTCGCAGATGTACCGTGTGTGATACGATGACTACTAGCATATCTACGGGTTGATGACATGATGGTTTGACGGGCTAATTTAACTTAAACTGTCATGTCACCGTAGTTGTGCTCAAAAGTCCGCTAACATATTAAATGCCAGAATGCCAGCCGCCTGACCTGGCACGTAAAACACGCCTGCAAAAAGAATGTTTACATTTAGTTCCCCTTTAACCAAGATTCGCACATTTCTCAACCCTCAGGGGTTTTGTTGAGGCCCCCCAAAACATTCATTTTTGTTGCACGGAAAAAGCAAAATCCCAATTTGACGGCAGCTATTATACATGGGGCTTCATTAAAAAAAAAAAAAGGAACATTTTTCACATTAAGATGTTTATCAGTACCCTAAATAAATAACTAAATAAATGAATGAATGCGCATCTCTGATATAGCGCACTTCGTCCGCAACGTAACTCAAAATGCTTCACGTACTGTAATTAAAAGTACTTTTCATAGCGGTTAGAGAGTGAGTTTCAAAAGCAAAGAATTAAACAAGCTGACAAAAAAACCTTCAGTATAAGAACATGATTTTCAAAAACGTGATAAAAAATACTTTAAAAGACCTTTATCATAGGTATGGGAAAAGAGCATAATAATTTTTAGTTTATTTTTTTTTTTATTGGTATAATTTGAATCTTGATTTGTTCCTATTATTCACTCTGCTAATAAAAGATACCCACGAATCAAGGGGGACCGTATTATATACAAGTACAGAGAGGAAAAAATGTGTTTAGGGTAATTTCGGGGGGCATATTCTCCACGGGTGTATTTGACTGTGATTTTTCAGAATGATAATGATAAACACATTCCAAGAGGAAATGGTTGGAATTTGGAACATAATTGGAGTCTTGCAAAACTCTGACGAAACCCGCATCCATTCACCTCCAGCATCCCCGTCACCTTTTTGTTGGAGGCAGCAAATTGACGGTCTTTACCTCTGTCAGCTGTGTCGAGGGTGTGTTGGGAAACTTTTCTCCACTAATAAAACCGCCCTTTCTCATGTAATGACCTGTCTCTCACTCTCTGCCTGTGACCCTGAAACCTTTTCGGCATTACCGTGCGCTCTCACCCCTGCTTTCAGCTCGGTTCTATCACGCCATCTATCACTCCATCTTACGCTTTTAG